CTAGGAATATACTTTCTTTAATAGGTGCTATTCAAATTTTATATTTCCTCCAGAGTTAGTTTCATTAATTTGTCTTCCAAGTTATTTCTTAGAAGTTGTCAGATTTATTTCAAAAAAGATTTTTGTAATGTGCTTTCTATATGCTTTAAATTCTGTAAAATCTGTGTTAATGTCTCCTAGATCTTAATATTGTGATTTAAAAAATGCGTAATTGATATTGTGAAACAGGAAGAAAAGGTCTAAAGGAGCAGGGGAAGTGGGAGGGGTAGGGGAAAGGAAAAAAGGGAAAAGAAAAAATATGAGAGAAGGAAAAAAAATGGAAACAAAGTCTTTGCAAATAGGGAAGTGTGGAGGGGGTGAAGGGAGGGCAAGAGAAGGGGAAAAAAAATAAGAACCAAGATACTCATGTAAAGGTACAAGATCCCATTGATGAATGTAACTGCATTTTACATATAAAATGTACCAATAAACTTAATGGGGGGAAAAAAAAGGATGAGTTTTCTGACCACAGTGAGATTCAAGCAAATATCAACAAAGGAAGAAGAATGAGAGAATGTTTGTTTGGAAATCAATCAATATACTTCTAAGTAAGTCAAGTGTCAAAGAAGGTCTTAATATTGGAAATAAGAAAATATTTGTAAATGAGCAAGGAAAATACAAATATAACTTGTAGGGTGAGGTAAAGTGGTACTGATGAGGAAGCTTGTAGTCTTAGACAAGAAGGCTGAACATAAATAGTCTAGGTTTCATCTCAAGAAGCTTGAAAAAGAACAGCAAATTAAACCTAAAAGATGACAGAGGGATGGAAAATGAGAGTAGAAATCAATGCTGTACAAAACAAATACACCATGGAGAAAATTAACAAAGCTAGAAGTTGATTATTTGAAAACATAAATGAAATTAATAAACCCCTAATAAGACTGCAGCCTCTCAAAAAAAAGATAACAAAAATTCTTCCACTGCTACAGGTATATATTTAACATATTTAGGGACCTCTAAATATGAGCTTCACTGTAGATAAGTGTACAAAGGCAAGCCATGCTGTCCTCAGGTGCTATTCATAAGTGCCCTGCCTCCCGGCCCATGGAAAACAATTGGCTTAGCCTGTGCACCCAAACTCGATTCTAGGGCAGATCCAAACATGATGTTTTATTATCAAGAATAAACCAAAAAAAAAAAAAGATAAAGCACCTTTATAAAATAGCGATTAGCCACCCACCAACCCCTCCCCACAGGCAGGATCACCCTGGCCCATTTTATTTTTGTTCTTGGACTTACAATCATCTAATAAGCTATATTTGTTTATTGCCTGTTTCTGATCCTCCTCCCCTAAACCTCTCAACACTAGAAGCTCAGAGGTCAAGGACCTGGTTTTGTTCTCTGCTAACTCTATGCCTAGAACTTCTGGGACACTTAATAGGCACTCAAGCAATAATTGACAGACCGAATAAACTGTTTTGTACTTAACTCTTTTTAGCTTTTATCATCACTGTGATGCCCATAGATGAGAAATTAATCTCCTCATGTTTCAAATCCAGTCTTAGGCACACTAGCCATGTCATTAGCTTGGTCTTGCTAAGGACCATGGATATATTTCTTTTTTGTTTTGCGCTAAGTTACTTAAAGGTATGTAAAACATTTGCAACATAACCGTATCGCACTACTCAAAGTTATGGTGCAGGGGCCAACAGTCTCTTTGATATCACAGATTCCCAGTGACAGAAAAGTTAACTTGTTCAAATGCATGTTACATGAATATAAATGAAAACTCAAAGCAATCATGCAATGAAGGTTCAGAATGCACAGTACCTTATGAAACTAGTGATGTATACGTGCACAAAAGTTGCCATCAAATATTGACAGTCAAATCTGTCCATGATCCCACCATGCCCAGGGATGGTGTTTGCAAAATCCTTTAGAAACAAACAAATACATTCATGAATTTTCAAAAATATCACCTGTATAAAATTCTTATCTTTACAGACATTTACATGTCTTTCTGACATCATGAGCTACATAAGGAAAATACTATTAAGTTTTTCCACTAAATGCAGATTTATCAGAACATATCCAACAGATTAAAACCATGTCTCTCAAGTATGAGCTCATTTCAGGATGCTTTTGGAACTAACCTATAGCAACAAAATAACACTAATTAAACATTAAAATTAACTTTTTTTCATTAGTGGAAATTTTTCTAAATTTTTCTGTTTCATTTTATTATGTTAAGTTTATTCGTTTGTTTGTATTAGCATATGCCTGGTATACATAAGTAATTATACTCATGTTGGGAATCTGTACAGATACATATTGCATCTTGATCCTATTTACTTCCCCTTCCACACCTTCCCCACCTTCAGATCCCCTTCTCATCTTCACAGTGCCTACCTCCCCATTTCCTATCATCTGTCTTTTATTTTGCTCTTTAAATAACTTATACTTTGGGTTTCTCATATAAGACAAACCATGCGATACCTTCTGTGTCTGACTTACTTCACTTAGCACTGTGGTTTCGAGGTGCATCGTCTTCCTAGCAATGACTCAAGTGTATCCTTCTTCCTGGGGAGTAGTGCGGCCACACTGCGCTTGCTCCCCTCCAGCAGGCACAGCCCCTCTGCTCCTCCACACTTGCTGCAACTCTCTCCCTTCACTTTCTCTGTAGGACTTACTCTCCTTTGCTCAGACATCCCCTCAAATGCCACCTCCTCAGAGAGACCTTCCCTGATTTCCCCACTGCAGGGCACACATCTGTCCCTCCCTTAAGTAAGGGAGACAAGGTGATGTGCTTCATGATGAGCTAACCTAACCAAACATATGGATAGTCTGAAGTATCTAGAGCAGGGTCTGCCAACCAGGTCCCAAAGACCAAATCCAGCTCTCAGCCCGCTTTGTAAATAAAGTTTTCTTAAGACCCCATCACACGTATTCATCGACATATGGCCTGTGGGGTGGTGGGGCACACTGCAACAACAGAGTTCAGAGTTGAGAGAGGTGTGATAGGAGTGATGGTATGCCATGCTGAACACAACTTAGCATTTGCTCTTCCCAGGAAAAGTTTGGCAATCCCCAATCGAGCAGAATGGACAGCTACCTACCCGAAGGTTCTTGTTCATACTCTTCAAGTGAGACTGGCCAAGCACTAAGTCTCAGATTATTCACAGCTAGACCCCCCTAGACAAGCACTTGAACAAACAGGACTCTGCTAATACCAATATTTAGGGAACAAGTCGTTTCTTTAGGAGGCCGGCAAGACACTTTAAGATGGATGTATTCACATGGCATGACTGAAAGAAACCTAACAGAAAAGAACACACTCAAATCCACTGAGCATTGTTTTTGTGCAGCTAAAACAAATTGCAGCTATAAATTTTTGCCTAAGGATTAAATTTCAACCAACAGGCGACCAAATTCCAACTAAGATGCATTCTCTAATAATGTTCATGAATAACATAACAAAGAATCGAAAAACATACCTTGATTTTGAAAGCTCTTTTGAAACCACTGGCAAAGAAGCCTCCAAATGGGCCAATTAAAGAAGCAAAGGTTGAAAGAGCAATGCTGTGTATCTGGAAAGGATACAAGCTCACCGTCTCCTGGAAAGGAAAAAGAAAGTGGGAGAGGGGACACTGGGACTAATTCCATTAAAACTGTATTTGAGCATGTCACCTAATGCAGGAGCCATGATACAAAAGTAAGTCAAAGCAGATGGCACATTTCTGGGGAGTTAATTTTCCAAGCTTTAAGAGTCAGGAAAGAAAATCCACTGCAGGTCCTCTGTCCTGTCAACTGCTGAGCCAACCCTTCTGTCCCCTCAGCAAGGCACCCAGGGGACCCTGAGTCCTCCAGCTGGCAGAGCGTATTCCAGTGATCTAGGAACTGGACAATGGTAGGGGTTAGTGAGTGTGTGGGGAATCTGCTGAGCTAATTTCTATTGGTGGGGTTTTTTTTAACCAGCAGTACTGGTAATAAAATAATTTATTTTAATTTTGTACTTTATTTCACTTGATTTAACTTTACATGGTGAAAAGGAAAAGTTGGCTTTTTCTCTGACAGCTATGCTGAATGCTGTGGAAACATAAAAATACAAAGAACGATCAAAATGAGCATCAGTAAGACAATTATAAAAGAGGAGAAAGAGGGTAAAAACAGGATTCTGCAGTCTATTTTATAAATCTAAACCTTCCACTCCCCTCTAAGTAACACAAATTGAGGTCCAAGAGAGATGTCTGTGAACAGCAGGTCCTGTGGCTGCTATTCAAAGCAGGAGCCTCCACTGAATCAAAGGCTGGTGCCACTGAAAGCACTGTAACAGATAACAGAAGGCTTGGACATTGAGCACTTAATGAAAGAAATCATTTGTTGGTTAACTTCCTTCTAAAAAATTATGAATACCCATACTCGTGTGACACACACATGACTGATTCCCCTTTTTAGTGGACTACACCCCAGTACTAACAACACAGGTCAGGACAGCGCTACTGGGGAACCTGTAGGTACCCTGGGCGGGGGACACCTCAAAGTGCTCTAAATGGCAGCAGTGTGCTTTTGAAAGGAACGCTCCTTTTTAAAAGTAGAACCTTCCTGTGCTAATAAACATTCTCTAAAATTTAAGTGCTCTTTGAATTGGTGAGTTTTAAGTTTTAAATTGAGCTAATTCATACCAGTAACATGTAAAACTCATTCTAATTCATTCAATTTGTAAAAATCTACAGATTTTAAAAAACATTCTTAAAACATATACAAAATAAATTACCATCAATATTTAAATATATTCTTCGGATACAAATGATTTGCAATTTTCAAACTCATTTAATGCTTAGGAAAGAGAAATCACAAGGGGAGAACACACTATCGATTGAAAACCACTGTGACACCATCAAGTTAAAAACTCTGCAGGACTTGGATTTCGGTAGAAATCTGACCTCACATTCACAGAGAGCTTGGTCTCTGAAAGGAAAGCTCCTCCTGACCACACATCTTGAGCCCTTGCTCTTACCCGTCTCAACACTGCCTTCAGGAAGGAGGGCAGTGAGTAGCTGTGCAGTTGGAAGAGGTCGGCAGGCTCACACTCAGTGACAAAGGAGTTGACATCACTGCGGTACTCAATGGGGCAGACGAAGTACTGATACTTGGAAAGCATGTAGGCGGCCTGAACAACAGAGAGGAGCCCATGAACAGCGCCCAAACACATGTGAGCTGTGTGTCAGAAACCCAGAATGTGTGTCATTCATTATGTGAAACCCACAACTTTGGCATATTAACATTCTGTCGTGGACTTTTAATGCTAAAAGGTCGTCCTAGTAAATATTCCAGTTAAAAAAAAAAAAACAAACAAAACCCTTGGAAGACCGTTATAAAAATAAAAGTTTCCAAAAGCAATGAGATCTCTGTATGTCCACAGGGGTGGGGGGTAGGGGAGGAAGGGAAAGAGAAAGAAGCTAATTTGAACACTCAGAAATGCATGATAGCAAGATCTTACTTTTTAAAAGTACGTGTAGTCTTACTACAAGCTACAAAGATGAAAGATTGAATTAAGAAGATACTGTACAGGAGAGGAAAAGATTTAACTTCATTGCATACAAACTTTTACCCAGTGATTCAAAATTACTAAGAAGATAGTATAAAATAATACAGATGAAAAGCACCATTGTTCTTCACCAACCCAGAACTGACTCAATTGTTCCCTTCTTAGCCAAATCATTGTAAGTTTTAAAACCAGCTATCTTCAGCCAAGGAAGTAAAAGATACATAAAATAAAACATTCTATTATAAATTTAAATTGCTGGACAACAGTTTCTTGTTTTTTGTTTCCCTTGCAGCCATTCACCTCATTATTTTGCTCATGAAAAGTTAATAGAAATTCAAATATGACTCTAGGAATGGATATAAACTGATTTTGCTTCCAAACAACCAATTTCTTCAAAACCGTTTGTTTAAAAAAGTACAATTTCCCTCCTCATTATTTTGTCATATGCTAGGTTCTTATAGGGTAACTTTATATTTTTCCAATGATGTAGATATTCATACAGAATTTCTAAATTAATCTTTAATAATACCAATCTTTATGGTATTATTTAACTTAATACTCTGATTAGTCTTGCTTTTTAATGTATAAAGTAGAGTAGACAATTTGCATTATTCCAATTATTAATTATTATCAATATTCTACCTCAAACATTTCAGAATAATTTTATGAAACTCTCCTGGAATGTTCATTGAGAATGAACTAAACTTATAAAGTAAAAGAAGAACTTATAGAAGTTTTCCAATCCAGGATAATGGCCATTTCCATTTATTTGTATATTTACTGTCTCTCAAAGCTTCATGTTGTTACTCATTACTCTATAGCTGGATATACTTTTTTATACTAACTACAACTGTCAGGGACTAGAATTATTTTTTAAACTCAATAGTAGTTTTTTGTATATTTATCTTATATTCAGTCATTTACAGTAATCTTACTGATTCTTACCTTTTCTTCTTGTACTTTTTAATATAAACTGAAACTTCCTACATAATTATAAACTAATTTTTAAACATGAACAATATTCATTATTCATGGTTAAATGTTAACATTATGTACAATTAACAGACTTCTCCTGCTATGAGTTGAGCTCATAGCAAGAACCATCCACTGGGCCACATGGCTAACAAGTATTAAAAGGGCAGAGTTTTCAACATCATTTGCATTCTCTGCTATCACTCAGACACTACAGTCTCGGCACCTACATCTCCCAAATGCAGAACAGCAATAAGAAACTATCAAAACACACCACCACAACAGTGGACCTCAGATCTGGCTGTCCACCAAGACCACCCACGAAAGTTAGTCATCCTGGGACAAGGCTGGGACACAGAGTGTGTTTAAGCTCTCCAGGTGACTCCGGGATGCAGCCAAGGTCCTGGGGTACAGGACTGATTCTGTGTAACAGGTTTCAATAAATATATTATCAGCATTTTGTGGTTTATTTTTTAAGGTTTAAAGCAGACTAATAAACTTTCATTTGAAAAATATAAATAAAAATCCTAGTAAAACTCACCATGAATCCAAACACGACTGTAGAAAAGAAACCGCCAATGAATCCTTCCCAAGTCTTTTTAGGAGACAACTAAAAAAGGTCAAATAAAATTGAAAAGAGTTACTGCACTTACAAAACACACAACAGATATGCAAACTCTGTCCAAGGAGTTCCCTCAATGTCTTGTGTCTCCCTCCTTTCTTTTCTCTTATTGGAACCTTTTAAAAATCTTTTTTCCTTCATCCTGTGATTCTGATTTTCTTGTGCAAATGTCTATTTGTTTCAAATTCTTGGGGTTTTTTTAATCCCTTAAAGGGCTATAAACTGTATAGAGAAATAAGTATTCCACAACATTCATGCTTGTCTTGGAGTAAGGATGACATATCTTCATTCTAGGTACACACAGTCTGTGCTGACCTGCTACTGACCGAAAACAGAATGAGTATAACATATACAGAGATGGTGCAGCATACCCAATTTTCCTATATTCCTAACATGCAATACATAAAGAAATCTCTTTCTGAAATGGTAAGGCACTCCATAGCCCCAAACACTGTATTTGATCCTCAAGTATTCACAATCTTCGTCAGTCTCCAGAAAGAAAAGATCATGTTGTACTTCTGAAAATAAATGGTGTTTGTTTCAGAGTTGAGCTATTTCCAGTCAATGGGGCATTTGGAGAAAGAAACCTGGAGGAAAGTCTGGAACAGCAATGCAGGGGCAGAAGTAAAGATTTAGGAGCAGGTGGTGGTGACAAGAGCCCAAAGTTCCCAGGGCAAATACGGGCTGGGGTCAAGAGATCACTGATAGTTTTCATGATTATTGGTTCCTTGGAACAAACAATGACAGAAGCCAAATTTCAGAGGGAAATTTCTGAAGTTAGAAATGGATTACAAGTGAACTTATTGAGCTATTTATGGAGCTCTTGTCTTGATGCTGATAAACCCAAAACCAAAATGGTTGGCAGATACGGCTTCTTGACAAATCTGTTAAGAATCCTGCTGTACAGAAGGAAGGGATACACTCCCTCCTAGATAATACTGAGCCTCTACTGTTGCTACAAAGTAGCAGCAGTCTCAAATTCAAGTGTCTACTGATTAAAGATAACTTATCAAATCTAGTTGATCCACATCAGATCAGTTTAGAGGTTAATTGCTCAATTGCCAGGGGATGTTATACAGCTAACCCAGCCTGTAAAGTCACTAGAAAGCTATGTTCAATATTAGCCACTGAAATCTGTCTAGAGCCCTAAGAGTCTCTCTAAGCCCAGAACAGCCCACCCAAACCTCTTGAATACTTATGCTTAATTTTGTACTGCACCAGCTTTAGAGTCACTTTCAAGGTACATACTTTGCTGCCACTATCCTTACAGCTCTGCCTGGTATTGTGCTGGATTCTCACAAGATTTTTTTTTTCTTTTTCTGGTGGTAGAGATGGAACTCAAGGCCTCATGCATGCTAGGCAAGTGCTCTATCCCTGAATTATACCCCAGCCCCCACAGGGGAAGAGTTTGTGGAAGGTTTTCTGAAGGACAAGTAGTCTATTCATTCCTCCACAAACACTAAGCTACCCCACATCACTCTGAACACACAGAAGGTTTTATACCTGACTCATGGGCTCAGTCCCTGCCCAAACTGCCTTCAAATAATACTGCAGTAGTCAAGTAATCTATGTGTAGAAATATTATTGAAGACTTTGCCCAATATGTGGCGTAAATCCTGTTTGAAGCCCAAACATAAAAGCTCTTCTTTACTAGAAAAATCAGTTCTAGAAAAAGGTTTAATTTCCATGAAGAATTGGCTTGTTTCTTTTTTACTCAAAATAACCGTATAATAATTTTTTTTGTGTGGGGGGGTGATGATTCTGGGGATTGAACACAGGGGTTCTCTACCACTGAGCTACATCCTCAGTCCTTTCTATTGTTTATTCTGAGACAAGTCTTGCTATTTTGTCCAGGTAGGGCTTGAACTTGTAATCTTCCTGCCTCAGTTTCCCTCCATCCTATGAGTTCAGGTGTGCACCACCATGCCTGGATAACACATTTCATTTCTTGGCCTCCACTGCCTATAAGCATGACCAAAATATGTGGCAACAATATGCTTGTATTTTTCTTTCTTTATTTTAATCTTTTAGTTATTTATTTTGGGGGGGGGGGTTTGGTACCAGGGATTGAACTCGGGACCTTGCGTTTGCAAGGCAGGTGGCAGACTACTGAGCTAAATATCCAGCCTTAATCTTTTATTATTACTTGCATTCTATTATTTTATTCAAGGGTTCTCAGATCTTTTTTTAAAAATGAGTTTGGGTGTAAAAGTCGTATCTTAGAGAGATGGCAATGTGCAGCATTACTGAGTGGTTGAAAATGTTTTCCAGTGGCTAGTTTTAAGGTTATGGGAGTGACTTGCATATAACATTTTCCATTACCTTAATTAATGGAGTTCTTCCAAAAAAAAATCCAAAAAGGTAAGCAGTAATGTCATTGCAGATAACACTTGATATTGGAACAAGGAACCTTTAAAAAAGAAAAAGTCAGCAGAAAAAGTCCATATGATTAAGCAGTGAATATTCACACAGGCTTATGACTCATAATGAACCAATGTAATAACCCTTTAGCTTATGCTTAGATTATGCTTCAGCCCAGCCCAAAGCTAACACAAAACATTAGCAAAAGCAGTAAATATATCAGATTTGCTCATTTAGCAATTAAGTAGATCACAATAAATAAACATACTTAAGAGAATATGGCTTAGGAAAATATTAAATAATCAATTTCTATGGTTATGGGCACTTAAATCTTAGTTTTACGAGGAACAAGTTAAAAAAATAAAATTTAAGTAATCTTTTAAAATGGAAATGAGTCAACCAGTTTAGTCAGAGCATAATCTGATAAATTTATACCAAACTCTTAAAGCAAATTCTCTTTCTTCTAAGAAAAATTAATTTATTTTTATCCCAAATCTGTGATTGTGTTAAGCCCATACTCTACTTATTTCAGAAACTGCTCCCCATCAAGGCAAGTTTTCATATGGCAGACAAACTTAAATCATTTCAAGTGTTTACACATACACACACACACACACACACACACAAGGATTTCAGTAAATATATGACACTGTCAGGGAATAAAATTTGTCTTAATAAACGCAATAATTTTATACTACTTTAATTAATGGGCTTAAAATGAATGTGGGGTAAATATAACCATTTTTTAAAAAATATTAAGCCTTTTCTTCATTCCAACTCATTTTGACTATTAAGCTTATAATTTTTACTTAATAAAATGTTCTCTGAATCTTCATGACACTGCTGCACAACTACAACTCCACACCTCTGGAATCTAGAAAGCCACTCCTCACAGAAGCCCAGGAGAAACCACCCGACTTCTCCCTAAATGATGGAAAAGGCATCACCAGTACATGCTTGCTAACAAGCAAACTTTCCTATTCTCCTCACATTCCATGTAAATATTAAACTCTTTCTAAAGTCTGTCTTTTATAAAAGTCACATTAAGGTTTATTAGCATCTAGAAATATAACTGGGGCTTTTGTGTGGACTTTCTGCACTTTGTTTGGAATTTTAAGAAAGTTTCCAGTTGTTTTTGGTTTTATTTTGGTACTGGGGATCGAACTCGGGACCCTGCACTTTCAAGGCAGGCAGCAGAACCACTGAGCTAAGTCCCTGGCAAGTTTCCAGTTGTTAATGAAGCATAAGCCCTGTGAAACAATACACAAACTCAGTAATTTTAATGGAAGAGAAGAATAGCATGTAGTATATTTAAGTGGACATCTGTCAGACACCGCCCAATGTTAACGATTTTCCAGAGGGCCAGATGTAACTGTGACACAGCATAATATTGTCCCCTTACCAGATCATGCCTTCAAACAGATTTTGGATGACCAGATGAGACTGGGTGACGGTTATCAGTAAAGTGACATGAGTCCACGCGAACTGTTAACAGCCCAACAACATGAAAGTTAGCAGACACAGTGGCCAGTGCAGCCAAGGGAGCAAGAGCAAAATGGAAACAGCAGTTTCTGCCTTCACTTTTGGTCAAACTTTGTAAGATAAGGTCACACAGAATAAGTATAGTTAGTAAACTGAAATTACTATATTGCCTACTAGAATCTTAAATGAATAAAAATCTTTACCAAACTAATCTTACTTTATACACAAATGGAATGTTAATAGTGAAATATACTACTAAATTTTAACAACACATATAAGAAATAAACTATAATCTTGAATCTCTCAATTTAAATGATGATGAGAAATTTATGGTGTTGCTGTGGCATTTAGGGAGGATCACTTATTTTACTCTGGCTGCATCTTGCAGTTATGAAAAATGCTAAAAACTATTTTCCTTCCAGAGTTTATCATGCTAACATTTTCCCATACTGAGTTATTTCTAATTTCCAATCCTCCAAACCAGTAGGATCCAACTGCCTGCTCCCCCACTCCCTTTGGGGTCCTGGAGACTGAACCTAGGGCTTCAAACCTGCTAGGCAAGCAATCTACCACTGAGCTGCATCTCCAGACCTATATATTTGTTTCTTTCTATCCATCTACCTAGAAAACTTGACATAGGTCTCATTAAATTGCCCAGGTTGAGCTTCAACTTGCGATCCTCCTGCCTCAGACTCCTGAGTAGCTGGGATTACAAGCATGTGGCACCACCCATTGCCCTTAAACTCTGTCTTTTCTTACTTGAAAACTGACCTTCACAGGTCTGTACAGTTCGATTTCATGGTTCCTAAGGCCTTTGTGTTCCCTCCACCTGGCCTGAGAGTTGGCTATGTTAATGACTCAGTGCAGCCCAACTAGGATGGGAACCAGGAGAAGCTAGTGTTTCTAGGTACTAGTCTCAGAATTTTGACCGGAATTTATAAAACAACTTTTCAAAATAATTAGAAATTTGAATTATCCTTAATAAGCCTATTTTCCATTTCAGCAAATAATATTTTATGTAGGTTGTTCTGTTTTATTCTGTTTTTATTTACATAAAAGATTGAATTCTTTGATGCTAGTTGCTTCAAAATCTAAAAATGATTGTTTTCAATAGACATCATTCATGTAGTTGCCCCTCTGTTGTCTGTAAGTCTTTCATTTGTGGATTCAACCAATCAGGGATAGAAAATACCTGGGGGCATCTGTATAGATTTATTTTCTTGTGTCATCAATCCCTAAACAACACAGTATAACTTTTCTTTTTCTTTTTTTGAGACAGCGTCTCATCATGCAGTTCAGCCTTGAATACACTATGTATGTAGCTCAGGCTGGCCTTGAACTCCTGCCTCATCCTCCTGAGTCTTGGGATTATAGTGTGCATGACCATGCCCGGCCATAGAATAACCATTTATTCAGCTTTCCCCATGTATCAAGCATTATAAGTAGTCTGTGGATGATTCAAAGTCTATAGGAGGATATGTATTAGTCGTACAAAAATACTATGCTATTTTATATAAGGGTCTTGAGCACCCATGGATTTTGGGATTCATGGGGGTCCTGGAACCAGTTTTCTGAGGGTCCAAGGAAGGGCTGTCTTCTCACAGGAGATGCTATTATTTCTAACATGTCTTGATCATTTTTAGATTTCCACTAAGAATTTTACTCTTCGCTTTCAGATCCCCTGAAATTAGAAAAGTAAGAAATACTACAATGTCCCAGCAGTAATAATTTAATAATTAGCAGAATGTCTTAATGGAGAAAAGCAAAGTTCAAATAGGAAATATAATCCCAATCTAAAACAAGCCCTGTTAATACATGAATTCACAGACAGATCTAAATGAAATGCTGTATTTTAGTCTTATAATTGGCTACATTTTAAAGAAACAGGAAAAGTTCAGCACGTGATAAATTTCATAAAACATAGACTTTGACTCACTCAGCCAGATACCTTACGCCAAAAAGAATTATGTAATTCTGTGACTAACCATAATTACCAAGAAAGTCCATACTCTGCTCCCTGCACAGTCATGCATAAGGAACAAAGTAAATTTCTATAAAACAACATGGTAGGTGTTTCCCGGGCTTTGTAATCATTGTAGAGATTATGAAAATGCTTCAAAGTTTTACACATTTAGGGAATTCAAATAGTTTATTTAAATTTTAGTCACTGGGTATATTTACAAAATAATTTTAGCAAAGTTTTGGGAACAGCTAAAAATTTTTAAGTCCTTAAAAATGTCTCAGCTTCAACATTCTGTATTCAGTGGTCATCTGAAATTGAAATACTCTTCAACTAACGCAAACTAGGATTACATCTCCTCAACAGAAGAAAAAAAGAAGAGAGGGAAGAGGGTTTATGACACAATGACTACACAATAATGGTTAATACACACCATATAAAACTGCAGACGGTAATGTTTCTTCACCAAGCTCAGTACAAACATGCAGAAACCTGTTCAAGAACAAAAAACATGTGCTTGTTGTGCAATATGGTACAAAGTGTAAGACAACCTGAGTGCAAATAAACTGATTCCTACATCTCACCTAGGCCCTGGTAGCCATTACTGAGATGCCGTCTCTCCTACTTCCTCACTTTAAGCATGGCAAGGAAACAACCTCATAATCAGCAAAGTGCCTAATATACTCAATGGCACAAATCCAATGAACAGCTCCTGCATTCACTACAAGAATCAGCTAACAGGTGGACATGGAAAACAGGCCTTGAATTTCAGTTGAATAAAACTTCTTTGCTCCATTGATCCCTTAAGAGTGGCTTTGGGGTGGAGCTTAGTGGGACCACGACTGCCTCACCTGTGCAAGGTCCTGGGTTCCATCCCCAGCTTACACACACGTAAGGTACCTGAAGAGTCTGTTTGTCCAGAGTGTGCACAGAAGGTTTCCAGTGTCTATATGATACGAAATTATTAATCACTACCACAGTAGCTAACATCTACTGAACACGTTAGGCTCCAGGCTCTTATCTAAGCATTTTATACATACTAACTCATTTAATCCTTCTGAGATCTCAGTACCTACTATCACTCCATTTTACAGATGAAGAAAAATGCACCAAGGGTTTTGTTAGCTCACTGACGATCGGGGGGCTAGAAAGTAGAGCTCGGCTACTCCTGACCCTCCGGAGATGTGTAGTTCCTCACAAACTCAGGCTACCAGGACTCAGGTGAGGAGCAACTGAAATTTCTTAGACCTGTATATAATAATTATAATAAAATACAATACTTTTAATAATTTCAAGATTTACCACCAGTATTTGAGTTTATGTTTATATCCTGTAAGTTTTACTAGAATGAAGATTTACTAAACAAAAATTCTTGCCAATTAAAAGAAACTTTAAATCATATACTAAAATAATGAGAGGCAGTAGGAAGCCCAACACACCAGTGTGCTTCTAAAGATAAGCTTTTTTTTTTCAGAGTTGGATACTGAAAATGCACAAACGAGGTCTCATATTTGATAAATGGCTATATATTCTATAACACCTTTGGATGGTTTCTCTGAAGCAGCAACTAAATTGTCAAATGATCTATTTCATGTAGAATAAATGTTAGCCTTGGCTTACCTGCATTCTATTTCCAAGGCAATTCCACCCACTAGAGTGAGCAAGGGTGCTACACCTCTCCTAGAGCAAAGAACCAAGCCACAAATGCTGTGGGCTAGGTTCCAATTACTGATTTTAAAGGTCCCAGAGTAAAGCAGGAGGCAAAGGAAGAGAATGTGTACTGATCTCAGTTTCTACCTTCTCTCAGTCCTCTAGACTAGATCGCAGAAGCAACTTTGAAACATTTTGTGAGTATAGACATAACTGTAAGCCATTACAGAGAGACAGAAACAGGGACAGAGAGAGGATGGATGGGGGGAGGGGAGGCATTAAACATGGAATTCATGGCACTGCAATTACTGGATAAAAGATTCCTTTAAAATTATTGCTTTCAAGTTTTTCTTCTACAGCAAGCAGACTTGAAGATCAAGTAATGTAATTTATGCCATTGGTCCATGGCTGAAGCTGAATGTAGACTAGATTTGGTTCAAAGGCTAATAATGGGGAAAGGACAAAACAGAGACACCAGACAGATGCCACTGGAACTTCTGTCCTGTCCAAGAACTTCCTGTCCTGCCCAATCAGACCACTGGGCTCCCAATACCACCCTGGGAACTCATCAAAACCACTAACTGTGAATTCCATAACAAATACTACTCTAAAATACATGGCTTTCTCTTTTTTGAAATTAAATTGAATTAAATTAAATTTACTCTGATGCACTTCTTCAAACAAAATTACCAGCAGTGCCATCCAATATTTACCTAATGGTTATCTTATCCAGAATGGTCTTGGCAACTCACTTTGACTTGATCCAACTTTACCTAACGGATATAATTATCTGACCCCTAAACACATTAACATAGTGCACTTCTCTGACTTTAACAGAGGAGGGTAGAAGTATTTTCTTAACATATTTAAAGCTAAATATTGTTTTTAAAGAAAAAAACCTGGAAAAGAAACATATGAAATTAATCATTTTCATTCACAGCCATGTGAATATTTTATGTTTAAATATGTAAAAATGCATATTTACCATGCTGTAATACATCTATGGAAAGAATAATTTATCCTTTTGGATCCACATCATCTTACTCTTCCCCTACCTAGGAAAGAATATTTGCATAGCTATGTTTCCAGTTAAAAATCACAGGTTTCACCACAGTATTATAAATCAGAGTGCTCACTGAAAAGGCTTCCTAATGTACAGCTCTTGGTAAATAATTATGTTTGGCAAAACTATTGACCATCACTCATGAACAGAGTACTGTGCCTGGTGTTGCTAAAACTAAGATATGTACGTCCTGCAGCCCAGTGTAAAAGCGTCCTCACAGGTCGTCAAGAAGAACCAGTTATCCAAGAGGCTAAAGAAAAGTGTATTCAAAAGGAAAGAAACAAAGCATGAAGTTGTTAAAAAAAAAAAAACAGAAGTAGTAAACAGAAGTAGTATAGAAAAAAAAAACCAAACCCACGATTCTGAAAAGTCCAAAAGATGGTTTTATGGATTATATCTAGGTGTCCCCCTCAAACCTCATGCACTCATAAGCAGAACTTTGGGGAAGTGGCTGGATCACAGGTGTGTGATACTGGATTAGTCCACTGATTGGTTGAGCATAGCACTGAGTATGGATAATGCATTTACTGAAGAGAGACAGTACAAAAACAGAAAGGAAGTCTCACTGCCTCCTGGCTCCATGGCACAGATTGCTTCTCCTCTGCCAAGCCACTCTGCCTTAGGGCTAGCCAACTACAGACTGAAGCCTTTACAAACTGTGAGCTAAAATAATCCTTTCTCCCTTTAACCTGTGGGTGTCGGGTATTTTGTCCCAGCAACGAGAAAGTAACTAAGACAGATGGGATACCGAGAATCCCCAAAAAGTGGACAAACAATAAAAAAATTTATTGAGCATTTATAATGTGCTAGACACAAGGCACAAAAATGAGTAAGATAGGCACTGGCATTCAAGAACTCAGTCTAGTTAGAAAAAATAAAGTTGTTTTTACATTTTATTATTAGTGATTAACCAACTCAGTAAACACATTAGTCTTCAATTCCAAAGCTAATTATTTTATTTACATATATATATATTTTTTGTACCAAGGATCAAATTCAGGACCTTACACTTGCGAGGCAGCTAAATCCCCCGGCCCTTTTTTTTTTTGAGATAGGGTCTCACTATATAGTCCCAACTGGCCTTGAACTGGCTAGATGGCCCCAGGCAGGCCTTAATCTTGTGAACCTCCTGCCTCAGCCTTCCAGAGTGCTAGGATTAAAAGTTTGTGCTTCCACACCTAGCCTCATTCTTCATTCTTTACTTGGTTATATTTTTCATTACACTTTCCTACAACCATCAAAACTCCAAAAATTTCTAACATTCTGAATTAAATAAATTCAGAATCATACTACATTATGTGGTATAATTTTTCCCAATACTAGATCATAATTAGTTTTAAGCAAAACAAAAGTTACAAAAAGTTTTAAGTGAACACGTATTGTATAAATTGTCAGGCAAACCAACCATTACATTAGCCACGTTTTGCTTTTGTTTTTTTCTGCAGTGCTGGGGACTGAACTCAGGGCCTGTGGATGCTGGACCACTGCCCTACCACTGAGCTACAGCCCAGCTCCCCACCAAAACACTGCTCTGTTAATCTGAATGGTGAATGTATGGTGTAGACCACTAGCACGTGTACAGATTTTACAGATTTTTAAATCCTCCAGTATAAAAGATACCCACAATGTCCAGGAGAAATCTTAATTACACATTAATTTTAGCTATCACTTAATTTTGTATGTCCATCAATTTTTCTCAATCTCAAAGCATTATATTCAAGTCATGCCACCCCCTTAAGGATGCAAAGAAATCAAAATAGTCATGCTCATATAAATGCAAGCAAAAACTCTACTAAATAAAATGCAAATCACACTAGGTGGCTAAAGAGATGAATTTAACAGTCAAACACCTGAAGTTCATTGACCCATCACTGCTGAACATGTTTGCAAATGGCTGCTCTGGGTTCTACAGTACCATATCCAAATCACCAAACGGATGCAGATACATATTTGTAGCTCAAGTACACTGCTATCTACTAGGCAAAGGCATACATGCACGCGTGCGTGCACACACACGCGCACACACACACACACAGAAATGAATAGATACAGAAAGGGGAAGGAGAGGAAAGAGAGGGGAAGAGAGGGAGAGAGGTAGAAAGGGGGAGGAGAGGGAGAGGGGGAAGAGGAGGAGGAAAGGGAGAGAGAGGAAGAGAAATCAAGGAAGGGAGAGAGGGGTGGAGAGGGAGGGGGAGAGAGAGAAAGACGGGTAGGAGAGGAAGAGAGAAAAATGGATGGAGTGAGAAAGGGAGGGAAAAAGAGGAGAGTCTACAGAAAAATCTTTGTCTTATTATTTTCTGTCTCACTAATTTTTTTTCTCTGCTTTCAGTCAAATTAAGTCTACAAAATTTATCTCAATGTCAGAATGATTTCCACGCCCTAGTCAGTGAGTCACCTTACCTGACAGGAAACAGGTCATTTAATTTTGTGGCCCATGATAAAGGGTCAGCCTCAAAGACATCTACATTTTATTTCAATAAAACTCAATGTCATTGAAATCACATGGGCTATCTCTGCTTTTTAAATCTGCTGGCTTTCCAAACTCACTTGACCACTAAAGGAAAATGTAATTTTGACAAGCCCCCTGCAATATTATTTACCGAAAACGTCCAAAGATTTCCACAGTATAATGTGAAAGGCACAAATACCTCAACAGAGCTCGCACTCTACTTGTTCACACATGCTTTGAAGTCCAGCTGCACCTGCCAGCCCGAGAGCACGGTGTTGCTAACTACACCAGGGTCATCCTGAGGCAGCAAACAAAACCGTGATGCTAAGG